TACTGACTCCCTAATCTTATCTTTACTGGGTAGCAGATATTACGTACTAACTCCCTAATCTTATCTTTACTGGGTAGCAGATATTACTTACTGACTCCCTGATCTTATCTTTACTGGGTAGCAGATATTACTTACCGACTCCCTGATCTTATCTTTACTGGGTAGCAGATATTACGTACTTATTTAAGGCACTAAAACATTAGAGAATTTCCATTAACTTTAAGACATTCAGGAAAACATTTTAAAGGACAAAACTAAAAATATTGCAAAATGGAACCAAAAAAAAATGTGATAGTACTTTTTCAACTGTCAAAAGTAGGCTATCCAGAATGAATAATGCTCACCTTCTACAGAAGGTGAAAATATAATCAGATGTTCATACAAATATTTCCCATACTTGACCAAGCTCAGTCCTGGATCATCTGCAGTTTTAAAGGTCAGTTGGAATCCTTGATCTACGTAGAATATTTAAAAATATTATCCATGAGATGTGAAAATCCTTAAAACACCAATAATAATATTAAAAAAAAATAAAGATGCCAAAACATTTACGAAGTGCTGGTAATGAAAACTGAAATGAGGTGTAAAACAAGAGATCACATCCCTTTCACTCACCGCTCCGGAGAATAATCTCTAAAATATATTGGACATAGCAAGAACAATTCTTATTATTTCACTTTAACAAGTTTGTAAAATAGTTATCTATGTGCAGATATCTGAGTTAAGGTAGCAACATGACAAAATAACTGAAAACTTTGATCAAAATGGAGAGTTTCTCAAATACTTATGTTGCAATACAATCAAATAAAGAGCGTTGTATCATGACATATTGTTGGCAGGAATCTTAGTTAGTTTCTCTGATATTATGCACAAAGAACTTTGGATCGTATGCTTTGAAAACGCTTAGCGACGTATCACAATCGAACATATATCGATTTACATTTTTCTCAATAAATGTAAAAATTAGCTGCTTGTGTGGCATTATTTTAACAATATTATGGCAGTTTTATAATGTTATGTTTCTGGTACGAGTTGTTAATATAATGTTACATTTCTGTTATGACTGGTTGATGATAATAATAATGCTTTGCCTGAGATTAACATTTTCTCAAATGCTAAAGTATTACTTGATACCAGATGAAACTTTACAAAAACAGATTTAGATGCTGAATTTTGGTCCACTTAGGCTACTTTTGGGTAGTTTTATTAGCTTATTTAGAAAATACCCAAAGGATTTTACCAACTGCAGTACAGAAAAAAACTGGTGGTCCAAAGTAAAAAAAAAATTTTTAGTAGCGTTTGCCGTCCGTACAAGACTGTTACGTCAAACGTTACTCGACAAACAGCTCTCTGATTGAAGGAAACTGGTTGCACATTTGTCTGCATACATCAGATACTTCCTATGCAATTATTTACTTCTTAAGTTTGTCCTTTATTCAAATTATGTGGTGGAAGAAGATTTTAATTATTGGATATTTGAATTTTATGTCAAAAATTGTAGAGCTTTTCAGTTCAGTATACATATCTAATATTGATATATTTTATGAACATTTTCTTGAACCATACCTGTCTAAGTGAAGTTACTAAACATTTGAACTAGTTGGTACATAATGATTTTTGTATTTTAAGAAACTGAAGACTTTTTTCAAGTCTGATTTTACAAATTCAAGCTGTTTTACTATTTGTGATTAATTTGAATTCAAGAAGAAACTATTTTATGGTTAAGTATTTTACTTTGTATTCCTCTAGCTTTCTCTTGTTTATGTTTTTTTTTTCTCTCTAAAGATAGAAAATTCTCACTAAGACAAAATGTTTGTAAATATTTGGAAAATATTACTTGAAAAACCATTTGTAAATATAAACTAATCTCTAATATTTAAACCAAACAGTCGTTTATATCATGATACTCCTATGTTTCATTCTTTTTCTAGGTGGAACTGACCTTCATTCACCCGTTAAGAAACTTAAAGAAGATGAAGAATCACTGGCAGTTGTACACTGGCATAGCTTTTGTTTTCTGTTTTTATGTTCTTCCAGTCAGTGGAACTGGAGAAACTCTTATTTTGCTGGATAATCTTGCCATCAAAGAAACACATTCTATGTTTTTTAAAGAGTTACAAGGTAAGACTTGTAATATTACTATACTTATACCTAAACGTTTCTGTTTATTAAAGAGTTACGAGGTAAGACTTGTAATATTACTATACTTATACCTAAACGTTTCTGTATTTTTTATTAAAGAGTTACAAGGTAAGACTTGTAATATTACTATACTTATACCCAAACGTTTCTGTATTTTTATTAAAGAGTTACAAAGTAAGACTTGTAATATTACTATACTTATACCTAAACGTTTCTGTATTTTTTATTAAAGAGTTACAAGGTAAGACTTGTAATATTACTATACTTATACCCAAACGTTTCTGTATTTTTATTAAAAAGTTACAAGGTAAGACTTGTAATATTACTATACTTATACCTAAACATTTCTGTATTTTTATTAAAGAGTTACAAAGTAAGACTTGTAATATTACTATACTTATACCTAAACGTTTCTGTATTTTTATTAAAGAGTTACAGGGTTAGACTTGTAATATTACTATACTTATACCTAAACGTTTCTGTATTTTTTGAATACTTGTGTAAGTTGAACATTTTTAAACCATTTCTTCTTCCTGAATTTATGAAACAGATGCTTTAAATAACTCACAGTTAATTTTAATCAAACACAAAATGACGCATTATCTATGTAATATCTTTACTGGCATAGAATTACGTCTAATAGTAAAGACTACGTTACGTTTGTTATTTTTTTATTGAAATTGCTTCCCATAATATTAACAAGTAATTTTACAAAATTTAAGGAAAGTTTCAATACATTATTTACACATTTTATAGGTTAAATTAAACCATAATCCAACTATTGTTATATTGTTTAATATTGTATTGTATAATGTTTTGTAGCTAGATTAAAAACTGGATCTTTAGTTTGTTAGTTTCACTACTTTGTCATTAGATAACTTCAAATGTACTGATATATGAATCCGTGTAAATATATATATACTTAACAACTCGTACCAGAAATGTAAC